TAATAATAATAATAATAATAATAATAATAATAATAATAGAAATATCAAGCCGTTTCTGCAGAGAAGAGATCAGATTATGCTTGTTCTGGTGTCTTCCCTGGCAGTGATGACATTGCTGTGACTGCCAAGATGGGGGGCATTTGGCCTGACATATGGGGGCTGAATGGTTGCAGTGGTCCCACTGAGTGTTTAAACCAGGGGTAGGCAACCTTTCCCCTTTAAGGTCCGAGGGACTTCAGCTCCCAGAATCCCAGGAGCTATTGCCCAACATGGGACTATTGGCCAACATGGCTGAGGCTTCTGGGAGCTGAAGTCCCTCGGCCCTTAAAGGGGAAAGGTTGCCTACCCCTGGTTTAAAGCAATATACCCAGCAGGGAAGGAGGGCAGGGAGGTGGGGCAAGAGTCTCTAATAGAAAACAATGGAGACCCCATTGCATGAAGCCCAACATAAGCGCCTGAGAAGTCATGGAGACACTGAGTTCTGTTTGTTTGTTTGTTTAGATATTTATTTTTTCAGGTGTGTTTGTGTGGAGAGGGGAATACAGCTACTCATCGTGCAGAGAAAATGCATATGGCAGGGGTAGGCAACCTTTCCCCTTTAAGGGCCGAGGGACTTCAGCTCCCAGAATCCCAGGAGCTATTGGCCAACATGGGACTATTGGCCAACATGGCTGAGGCTTCTGGGAGCTGAAGTCCCTCGGCCCTTAAAGGGGAAAGGTTGCCTACCTCTGGCATATGGAATCGGGAGTAATAGAGGAGGATAAACCTTTGCAAGAACCTCAGCAGAAAATGGCACATCCAATTTTAAGAGCAAATGTGGTTTTTAGAAAGCATATCCATCCATATCAAGCCAAACAAGCAACGTTATACCCTTGTAGGGACTCCGCTTTAATAAATCAGGATCAAGCCGGGTCTTGATTTACACTGTCTGGGGCAGGTGAAGTCTTTAGAATGGGCTAAGACTAACCTGGAAGCATTCCTTAGCCCGGCGGGAAATAGATTTGGGTTAGAGGAGGTTTTTGAACTGAGGCACCTAATCCTTGTGGAACCAATGAGTTGTTGGACTATGATTCTGGAGAGCTGGGTTCAAATCCTCCCTGGGCCATGTAAACCCACTGAGTGAGCTTGGGCAACTCATGCTCTCTCAGCCTCAGGGGAATGCAATGGCAAACCTCCCCTGAACAAATCTTGCCAAGAAAACCCCGTGATAGGGTCTCCATGAATTGTAAAGGCCTTGAAGGCACACAACAAAAACTTAATCCGCAGTAGACAACCCCTGAAGCAACGAATGCCTGGATGAAAGCAGATCTTCCTCAGGTTCATCCAAACCAGTGAAAGGGGCTAATGCAGAATGACGATCCAGAAGAGATTTATATGGAGGAACTGAGACAGAAACAACCCCAAAGACTGAGTCAGATCCAAAACACACTGTAGAAATAGTCCAGTTTGGGTCCACTTTAACTGCCCTGGCTTAATGCTAGGGAATTCTGGGAACTAGTTTTGTGAGACATTTGGACTTCTCTATCAGAGACCTTTGGTGCCACAATAAACCACAGTTTCTAGGATTCCCTAGCACTGAGCCAGGGCAGTTAAAGCCGTCTCATACTGGATTATTTCTGCAGGGTGTTTTGGACCACAAAAACAACTCCGGTCCCTAGGAGAAAAGAATGATGTGCTACTCACTGAACAATTTCATGCCCGAGTTCCAGACCTATATACAGTGGGATCATGAAGTGCTAAGTCTTGCTTTCGTTCTCTCAATTTCTCTCTCTCTCTCTCTTGCTCTTGGGCTCATCTCCCTTCCTTGGGTTGCTTAACATAAGCATTATTCCAAACATATGCAAGGCAATCCGTTCGGTCACACTTACAAGAACACGCTTTAATAAGGCAATCAATCACGGACTAACAATTCCGCCTGTTGGAGCCGAACTGGAGCTGGATTGAAAGTGGCACCTCGGAGGGCCCCGAAGACAAGCCGGCCTTGGAGGATGACAGGGAGAAGACACTGGGGCTGCACCCACACTGCAGAAATAATCCCGTTTGACAGCGCTTTAACAGCCATGGCTGCCTGCTATGGGATTCTGGGAACTGTAGTTTGTTGTGGGACCAGAGCGGGCCCAGAATTCCATAGCAGGCAGCTATGCCTGTTAAAAGCGCTGTCAAACCGGACTATTTCTATAGTGTGGATGTAACCCAACTCTCAGTGTGGGGGGGAGGGATGTGTGGTAATGGCGGTGGGGA